TAATCTGACCACTTAGATACAAGAACAGTTGGCATCTTAGATAATAATAATGTAAATGCATCTATACCTTGTAAATATTCCTGGCGGCCGACGGCTCGTGTTGCTTCCACGAAATTCTGCACTTTCACAGCAAAGTACACTATGTCCTTTTGATATTCTTGTGACACTGGATGTAACTTTTTTAATTCTTGTATCAAGCGTGATATAATTATATCTGGATTACCGAACCTTAGTTCCAGTGTCGCCATTAATTTATCAGAGTTACTGATGAGTAAAGCTGATACCGCTTCCTTTGCGGCTCCACGTAGACATTTCCGTAAACGCCATAAATTTTCCTTCGGATTGAAGTTGCAGACTTCAGTCGATTCTTCATAGGCCTGTTTAAATTGCAGCCATTCCATGGGGTCCCCTGAAGTATGGCAAATCCTTCGGCGTGCTCAATCGAGACAATAATTTAGCATTCGAGTTGCTATTCGCAGAGGCGGCGGCCATGTTCTTTAGAGCGCTTGCTAGCATCTGAACTGTAGTACCATTAGTGCCAGAATCTATTGCTGGCGGACACGTGTCACCCTGTTGAAAACCATGATCGTGGGCAAACTGTGTGTTTTCCAATTCTTGCTGGCTGTGTTCGACCCACCTCTCCACATTACTATTAATGTTGGTGCGATTATCCTCTAGGTCTGGACTGTATTCTGCTTCTAAATCAGCTAGGTCTGCTTCCAATTGTTTGTCAATTAATTCCATTTGAATTTTAGCTTTCTTCTGTGCAGCATCGAGTTCTAACTGCTTTTTACGTGCCAGTACAGATGAATACGAAGACTTCGTGGACTTTGCACGCTTCGTTGTAACGGGCGTCGACGGTTGGCATTCTTCTTTACAAACCCGCTTTTGAATTTGTGCTCATAACGGTCACCGTCTTCTCTTCTGTAGGCTTCATATTACTCGGCCGTGGCGTATCTTGATACTGTTCAGAACCAGGATGCTGCTCCGTCTGCATTCCTTATTGCGTGCAGTACTTCGGGTGCCTACCATTTTGTGCGCTGGTGGTGTGCGGTACATAAATCCGGCCGAATGACCAAATGTATGGTATAAAATATGGTAGGTCACGGTGATGGCAAACGAAGACTTTTAAGACAATTGGATTTATTTTCGACACATAAATTTTATAATGTTAATTAGAGATATGACGTGCGGTGTCGATCGCATCTAGGTGCAGACTGCGTGGCGTCTGTTGCGCCGGTTATAAGTTTTTTTGAAAACGACTACGACACCGCACGCAGAGACAATAACATAGACAAACATCATTTTAATTATTTTGTTTTTTAAGGCACAGAACGCGTCGCTTACAATCTTTAATTAAAAAGTTGGAAGCAATCAGAATGAATTTAACCGCGGATCCGCGGCCGCTGTCATCACGACTTATCCAGTTATTAAAGTCAGCCGCCAAGTAGACGAAAGATAATGAAATCCCGATCAAGAGAACTGAGGATACTTAAAGAATTTCTGTTGTGATAAAATCCACATTAATTTTGTTCAATTTAAAACAGATTAAGGCAAAGATCTTGATGGAAGTTTGGTGACGAAATTAAATCTTGGGCTAATAATAAAAAATGTTATTTTGCACAGAATATATTTTTAAAGCGGCCTGATTGTTATTAACCCAGATCAATCAGTTCAAATCCAGCCGACACTAAAAAAACTTTGTGTGTCGATTTGTATTTCTGACAATCCAGTGACCGGAACATCAAAACTGTTACAATATACTGAGTATACTAAGCTTATACATAGGTATATACCTAACTTAGACATCTGTTTAATCTTGACAAAGTCAATGAAAAAGGCGCAGTTAATAAATAATATACATTTCATATGTTTTACATTAGGACAGATGATTACAAGGATAGAGTAAAGATTTTTTATTAAAATTTGCATGGTGCTAATTTATATTTATTTTATACTGTTATATAATAATTCCTTAAAAGGAAATTACGGTTAAAATTAAATAATAGGATACAATAACATCTATCAAGCAATTTAAGCTACATGTGGTATCTGAGTATGCATTTTTTAATACACAGGTAAATAGTGGACGCGACGGTTTGTACATTTGTAGATTGCCATCTGTTTATCAAACAACAATATTTCAAGAATTTATATGATTAATAAATTAATTAATAATACAATTATTAATTATATTTATGCGTATTGAAAATTTTTACATCATTACTAATTGCTTCGCCATTCTATAGCCTATATGATGATATGTATGAATTTATTCTGTGTAAATTTTATAATTATACCTGTAATTATTTTTAGGTGAAACCCAAACAGACGAACTGTTTACACTAAATTAGAATTTTACAATTTTATTACATGTAAAGATATAGATGATCTTAAGTAAACAACTCGGTGAATAAAAAAATACGTATAAAATATGCTTCGAATATTTTTTACCTTTGCCAGCGTACAGAGCTAAGTGTATGAGCTCAGATATTGCAATCGTAAAATAGCTTTAATGTAACAAGTTCAGCGGTACATTCTTACAAGACAGACTTATTGAAGCGTGCCTAGTGCTGGTACATTCTATAAGCTCCCAATGGAATCTAAACGGTAATTGAAATTGAAATTTTGTCGCAGCCAATACATAAAAATGTAACACGTCTATTCTACTGCCTTATTTTGCATTGTGTTCAGTTCATTCGTCACGTTAACAGAAAGCGTTGTAAATTTGTTTAATGTAATTTGAATGGCAAATAATCTGATGGTTACTATAATTCCCCTGATGATATAAACAGCACGGACATCAACCTTATCAAGTGACACCCGTGATACCACGCATGCGTTGTCATTTCAGAGTAAGATACTAAGATGTCATGCATCTTAACCTGTAATTTCACTACCTAATCTGCACTGTCAGAGGTATTTATTATCAAAAAGGGTTTTTACATGATTGACAGATTCAAACTTACTGAGTTTTATAAGTTGGAGTATTAATCCGCTATATGATAAAATGGAGATCCCGCGCTCCATCCAGAATCTATTGAAGAACCCAGAAACTTACAAACCCATTTTCGAGTACGTTATATCAACTTTTCAAGATTTGTAACTTCTGAAGACAATTATTAGAAAAAAAAATATACGAAAATATTACTGAAGACGATGGCTGTATGGGCTGAGTCCTTTTGCCTTTTCCTAAAAAGGGAAAAACTGAACCAAAAAAAAAAAATTAATCCGCTATGCTACATTCGCTTAAGAAAAGATTTTATTCGCTACCTCTTACATCTTGCATTTGCATTTGAAGTGAGTGTCGCCACCTCAGAACGGTATTACGATATGAGTATTCTTTATACAAATTTCATAAAAGTTCACATTTATTGTATATTGCAAGTTCAACTCATTTTAAAATAAGGTGAGCTTGCAAATAAGTTATTGCTGATTTTGTATTAAGATTACATTGAATATTATTTGCGGATGTCAAGAAAGAGATTTCTTTGTATTTTTTTTTGCTGAAACATTAATATAATATTAGAGGATTTTACTCAATTACTGTGATAACATTATCAAATACTGACTTTATTAGTAAGAGTACCTACTATTACCTGAAAATTACATTCACTGAAAAAAAAGTAATTTTATATACCTACTTGTAATGCCAGTTATTTCCAAAAATGCCAAAAACTTCTCTATAGTTACGGAATATTAACTTATCTGTATTTATAGGTTATTAAAAAGCCATAGGTATTTATTAAATTAATATTTAATAATATAAATTATTAGTAATTTATTTAATAAACGGAACATTGTATCAGATCGAGAGGCATAAAACATAATTAAATTGTATACCTAAAATAACAACAATATGATTTTACAGATCAAAATATACGCCAATTAAATTCACAAACTCCCATTAACAAATATTTGTTGAGTAACTGTCTACAACTGCAGAAAGTTCTATACCAGAAAGGATATCTAAAGCAGCATTAGCTGGCTCCTACCAGATTTAGCAGAACAGGGAGAGAAACACGAGGGTTGAAGATGAGTGTTGGTGTACGTCGGCAAAGAGCCCCTTAAAACTACATCCGGGTCACAAGTCCTGGGAACTGTCCAGAATTTCCTTCTCTGCCACACGGTGGGCACCCGTACGGTGATTCCAAGGAATGCAAAGAGTTTGTCTCTCTAGCTGTTACTCGTAAATTTGTCTACTTTTTGAAATAAATGAATGTGGTATGTCCTGTCTCGTAATAATACAATGTAACAATTTATTTTTACGTCAATATTTATTAGGATCCATTCGTAATTGTGAAAAGATTACAAATACTATCTGAATATCATGGTTAATACATAAATGTCAAATTGAAAGGAACATAATTGGAATACACCAGTTCAGATTCTAGCCAGTTTGCAGCAGTCAGCCTAACTGGGCGATAGGGTTGGAAATAGTGATAAAAATACGTGACGAAGTAGCAAGTCCTATATGCATAAATGTTTCTTTAAAATACTTATTTTTAAATAATGTACGTTATGTAAAAAATGTTACACACATTTTTTACATTACATAATATTTGTAAATAATAAAACAGTTGTTGATTTTTTTATATTTTATTTTATTATTTATATACTTCTATATATATAAGCTTTCAACATAACCATCGTTTACCGGGGTTCAACTTATACGCAGATGGGACCGTGTATACACTCAGTTAATAATAAACTTATGATAGTAAATATTAAAAGTTTTTCACCCTTCATGCATTTGATAGTAGGGCTGCTGTGAGGAACATCCCCATGGAACAGGTACCAACTAAAATTGATGTCCGTCCTACTTCTTTCTAAATTGTTATTGTTTTATATTAATAGTTTTAGCAACAAAACTCGACTACCATGTCTACGGAAAAAATATGTCATAATGGATAAGGAAAAAACTTTTGTTTAAATTAAATGAAAAGCTATTTTATTATTTAAATAGTTTTGTTAAATAAATGTTAATAATCAGACTATAATATTATTTTTTACAATTAATCACAAATATGATACTTTTTCGTACTTCTGTAATCCATGCTTGAAATATTCGCAATAACTATCTTTGTATATACATATATACATACATATATAGCGCTACGTGTGTATACGGATACGTATGTTTCACTATACATAATGTGTGGGATGGGCCATTATATTTTCAGAGACAATTCAAGTCCAGTTAGATCGTATTTTTACTTTGCATATCATATACGCCATTTTTTCTCCGAACGCTTGTCTTAAGTGTTTGATTAACTTGTCTGCTGCGTTTAACTCTTTCACTTTTATAAAATTAAAGTCTGTGCAATAAACAACTTTAACTATCACATAATATGTCCAATATTGTCGTACGGTCCATCTGATTGTACTGAATCCACTGTCATGATGGAGTCGGATCTGATCTCTGTTCTAACTGCAGGCCCCCATGCTTGTGTTGGTTTGAAAAGATCCTTACCACGCTGAAAAAATAAATAATATAAAAATAAAATATAATTAATGAAAAAGTATAATTATATGAAATAATAAATTATGAGTAACTGGCTGTAATCGTGGTTTCATCCGCATGAGATTTATAGCCTCTGTGTTATTTTGATGTATAAGCTATGTTATTGTAGAGTTTCATTAAAATCCATTCCATAGTTTTTGCGTGAAAGAGTAATAAACATCTCACACAACTCACATATTTTCGCGGTAATAATATTAATAAGATATCCTGAGAATTTCAAATAGAAAGTCTTTATGAAGTCAACTCTGAGAGTGAGAGAACTCTGATGAGTAACTATTACTCGCTCATTTCTGCTGTTAGTGGTTAGAAGGACAATGAAATTACAGAGTATAGCAGTATCACTAGTTCCCGATTATAACAATGTGGGACCTGTAACATTTTTTTTTTCAAATGACCCACAGATTCGTTTCGGTTATTAAAAAAACAACACTCAGAAATGACAAATCTTTTAGTTAGTTTAGAATTTGCACAAACTAAAAAAAAATACTTGAAACACAAAATATTAGAAAACACTATTTTGTTTTATTTTATTCTACTGTATTTAGACAACAGTGGCAAATGTAAACTAAAGTGATACTTTGGAATCAACTCGGTTATAAACATAACATATATATTCATATATTTAATCGAATTAAGTGTTATTTTGCGGTGTTCCGTTTCACATTTAAATCCATCAAGTGGATTTATATTCATATTATAATAAATAAATTATTACATACAATAATCAAAGTATCTCTATATTTTAGGGGTTGGAAACCTGCACGTGATATCACTAGTGATATAAAAACTGTTTAGCATCAGGAAGGTCGTATGTCTGTTTGCGACAATCGCGATATAAAAAATGTGTATAATACTTACATATCCATGGTATAGTGCCCAGCAAACACCTACTGGGAACAGCACTAGTGTTGACAGACCAACAGCCCAGCCAAGCAGATCCGCAAATAGAGGAAAAACGTAGTCTTCATATGCTGGTGCGGACCAGTATATAAAGATGAATATCAGGATGGCCTGGACAATAATAATAATAATAATCAGTATTAATAGTACACAGTAATGTTTGTACTGTATATAATTTAGACAGTTAAAACATACTGGTAATGCTGAAAGTCAGCATTTAAATCAAATCAAATCAAAAACCATTTATTCATGTAGGAAATTTTTGCTACTTATGAAAGTTTTTTGTATTAACATTTTTTCCTTACCTTACCTTACTGAACAGGGTTTCAGTATATATTCAATTGAGAACGGGTAAGAAACTCAACTGAAGTTTTTAAAGCCACTTTATTTATACTTATACACTTATGTAGGTCTCAATGTTTAACATTAAATGAAAATTACATGCATGAATAACTATTGTCATGCAGGTGTGTCATTATCGTAGCTAGATCGATTATTTATACTGTGGTCTAACCAAGTTATACCACAGTGCTGATTTTCATTAAAATTATCTATGCGAGTCTATGTCTATATAGATTTTAATTTAATTTAATAGAAAGAGAGAGCTCACTGACATTGACACATATAATAACATATAGTTTGACAACATTATCAACTGTCGTCATTACAGTGAACACAACACTTGATGCTCACATTTAGCTCAGCATATTCTGAATCCAAGGCAGGGAGCGAGCCTACTCTCGGAATATATTGGTCTTTCCTTCATTGGAGAGTCGGTCAGAAATATAAATTGAGACGAATTTGTTTTTGTATCGGCCAGATTGAACTCACAGTACTCATGGGTGTAATTCAGATAGTAATAGGAATAATTAATATATCTCAGGACAATTCACACAGCTTCATCCAGTCCTAAACTAAGCAGAGCTTGTATTATTAGACTGCGTGCTGATACTCAAACTGTCGCCTATTTGACGAGCGCCTATTTAAACAGAAGCTTGTTTTGTAAACTGTGTTTTGGTTGAAGGGTAAGGGATGTAAGAGATAAGGCAGTGAAATAACAGGATAAGAGGCATAACATGTTAGTCCTGCGGAATGACAACGCATCAGTACCAACGGGGTTACATAATAAAGTGATGTCCATAAAGCTGTTCATGTATATAGGCGATTTAGGCTTGTTCTAAGTGAACCGTGAGCTTGTTTCATTAATTATTCTAATGACATAAAAAAAGGAACTTACCAGACTAGCGGCTGGTGTAACAACGCTCCAAACAGCTTTCCAGTAACCCCTCTGGAATTTATTCAGTTTCATCTTCATAGTTGATATGTCCTTGAGAGCTCGGTTGACTCCATAACTCCATGACACCGCGAGACACTGCACAATAAAATGTACTATTAGACAAATTTCGGTAAACAAATAAATCCCAATTCACACCACGCATTTTGTAGCAATCTAAGGGACGGTAGTACTAAAGATGCTAGACAATTATTAAACATATTTAAGTACAAGCTGTGCCTGCAGCTACAACCGCGTGAAATTTATAGCATATTTGTTATTCTGATGTAATAAGCTATATTATTGTAAAGTTTCATTAAAATCCGTTCAGTAGTTTTTGCGTGAGAGTAACAAACATCCATACTAACAAACTTTCGCGTTTATAATAATCATAAGATGGAATAGACAAGAGATAATTAATGTCTATTCCATAAGAAATGAATAATATGTTTTATTAAGCCTAAACAACATGAAAATAATTCCATTTTTGAAAAATATCTCACCTCAGCTACACCAATTAAGAGGATAGCCCACGAGGCCGTGTTCCAATCAAGTAGGGTGAATAAATAAACACCACCACTAAAACACATAGGCAGCCCGAGGATAAAACACGTCAAGCACGTGAAGGCAGTCACCTGTGGAAATTTAATTGTTTATCTTTTGTTCTAGTGCCCATACTAGATAAAGGAGTATTGTTGTTACGTGTTTTTTTTATTTTGTGTAATTGGAATGGCAAACTAGCCAACTGCCCGCTTTATGGCAACCGTCGCCTATATATATGAACATTACTACAGATATCACGTTTTCATGTGATAGCCACGATACAAATAATGCCATTCCAGAGCACTACGATGTCATGTCTCTTACTCTGTAATTTTTCTGCCTTATTTGCATCCTACAACAGCTTAAAAAGAAAGCTGTTTGGCGATTTAATAATGTATGAGTTTGCCCATGCATATAAGTTATTACAGTCTACCTCTGGTATCTATTATTCTAAGGTTGCCCTAAGATTGCTTTCAGCAATAAATCTCTTTATTGTATTTATTCATATTAATATAATACGACAAAAGGTAGTCTATTTCCTTCCTGGTGATACAATCTATGTAATCTTGATATCAAAATTCATTAAGATTTATTCATTCGTGAAAAAGTATCAAACAGAGGAATGTGAAATAGATTTATCAAACAGAGGGATGTGAATATAGGTTTATCATGAGGACGTGTATGAAATATCTAGAATATTTGTCAAAATAATCAGATGAAATCACACTACTGTTATTCTATGTACTTTATAAATTTTTAATCGACAAAAATTTGTGTTCGTTTTAATTTCGGTAGACTTTTTCGGTTCGATTCAAAATATACCGAATGAAATGTGGATCTATAAATATAATTTATAAATAAACTGTCATTTGAAAAAAATAAGAAATTTCATTGTGTATCTTGCCAGTTCTCAATTGGATCTATATACTGAACTGGACGGTTGGGAAAAATTATAATATGAAAAAAATTACGTTCATAAGCGGCTAAAATATACTACATGAATAAATGATTTTTGAATTTGAATAAAATGTATAGTTACCCTCCAGTAATTTTTTCTAAAGTGTGGCCACTGATCTACAATAGCTGTGTTGATAGCTTCGATGCCAGCAAACTGACTGCCAATGCCCAAGACGAATAACATAAAGAAGAACAGAATGGACCACAGTCTGGGCACAGGCATTTGGAGTACTGCTTCCGGGTATGCAACAAACGCAAGTCCTGGCCCTTGTTCGGCAACCTCTGAAATTTTATTGTTAATTTAAGTATTGCTGTATTTTAGTTAAATTCTGATTAAATTACTTCTTTTTAACAAAAAAATGCAACAGCATATGACATTATATCTAATTTAATTTAAACATGATCTGTATATTTTTAATCACGTACAGACTTATTTGAAATCAATAGAAGTTAGTTTCTTCCCAACCCTTATTAACTTTAAAGCCATCCGAACTGGCTGCATAATAAAGAGATCGATAATAATGAAAGATATTGTGATTTGATTTGAAATAGATTCAGAATTATCACGTCGGATGTCTTGCATCATTGTATTAAATGTTCACATATTTACATAGTTTCTTTTTCATTACTTGTCAAATTTTTTATTTTAACCTTTACCTCTAAACTATAAAAAACGTCTACGTGGCTACTACAGTCTCAGCTATTTCAGCTATCAAGCAGCGTGCTTTTTAACCTGTATTTTGGTTGGAAGGTAAGATTAGGCAGTGAAATTACAGGATCAGAGGCAAGACATCTTAATCTCTGGAATGTCAATGCTCGTGTGATATCACAGCTGTCACATGATAATGTATATCAGTAGTTCTGTTCATATCTATAGGTGACGGTTACGGCTTACAATGAATTTGCACGTCAAATTAAAATTATTTACCATTAAAATTAATAAAAAAAATACAACGAACTTTCTTTCTAATCGACTCCTTCATGAATCGAAATATTAGATATTTCAAAATATTTATGTTGTTAGTAGCTGGGCCAGCGGTTTCACCAGCGTTAAATTTCAATAAATATAAATATAGATATATGTTATATAAATAGATATGCTGTAAAGTTTCATCAAAATCGGTTCAGTAGTTTTTGCGTGAAAGAGTAACAAACACCATATTCACAAACGTTTGACTGTATAATATTCTGTTGTTATAATATGATAGTGTCGAAGTATTGTGTAGTCTACAATTTATCAAACTCATTAGTTAAAGAAATGGGTTTGCCATTCCTTTTACTTGGGTTTGGTAAATTCTTATGAAAAATTATATATTAGGGTAGTAACGCGTAGTTTTATTTTAATGTCTCATAAAAGAAGGATTTATTGTATAATTATTATCACCATTATGATACTCGTACTCTGAAATAGACTCGAAATCGGTTGTAAATGACGTTATTAAAAGCTGTAAGTAGTCGGATATTACTAATATCATAGGTAAGAGTATTGTCAATATCGCACGCCATACGATAAGTTTATGTTAGGACATTATTATAGTATACTTATCAAGCTATAACAACGTTATTATCTATAAAAATGTAATAAATAATAGATGCAACGATGAATGAATTATCGAAGTTCGTGTATCACATGGTATTAAAATAAAATTCTCCGGACATATGTATGTAATATCTGAGTTTCAATTATTTAAGCTTATTGTACAAATTATAGAATTTTCAATATTAAAATTGATGTATTTTCGTTGCAGAATGCTGTATATATTAATTAAATTCTCTTTTTTGTTACGTAATTTTAATATGACAATATGATTATTGACAGAATATTATAATGTATTTATTAAGGTATGTACATTTTTATACCTATCCAATAATCGTAGAATTGTGAAATTTATTAAATGAGGTATAGTCCTACTTACCTAATTACATACATACATATACTTTTACGCAAATAAATGGCTGAATTACTAACGTCACAGAATTTAAAAAGTGAAATAAAAAATTGAAATGAATCTATACAAAAATTGCTGGAAACGTAACGTTGTTTTTTAACGTAATCCAATCAATATGGGTGAACATGACGCTCAGCCAATTTCAGAGAGTTGGTAACCCGCCCCCATCACGCCAGCGAAATGAAATATTTATTGTTCAATCAATCCATTATCTCGAAACCGAAATTCAAACAACCGCTTTGCATTGTTACATGGCGAAATGAACTAGGGTCGTATAGGTATGAATCTATACAATACAATTTACACAATTTCTTTAGGATTGTTCATTTAATTGCGGAAATTGTGCGCTTTTGTCGTATGTGTAGTGAATTAATCTTTTGTTGCCACTGAATTTTATGTTGATATGTTAATTGGTGGTACCGTAAATATACATGTGTCGAAGGTCCTACACGCTGTACGGACATTGGCATGAGAGGCTTAGTGCGGTTTGAACGCGATTCCAATTACCGAAATAGACTTTGTATATATATACGTAGGTACTTCTGTCAAGTAGAAAGCTACTGTTTGTAACTTAGTAAGTTGTTTTTATTTCAGGGATAATACATTGTGAGAAATTATTTGTTTTTTGTTATAAAAGCATTTGATGATCAAATTATATTTATATCTTTTTTTTCAGACTACTGTAATGCTGTTGGCTGCAGCTGGCTTTTTCACCGGACGATAGTGGCTAGTGCAAATAGCACTCCAAACCCGCGGAAAGACTTATGGAGCGGCCCAAGGCCAACTCTCGCCTAACAGATACGAGTTTAGTCTGAGGACACCGCTAGTTTTAAACCTCGGCTCAGGCCGTCGTTATTTCGATCCCCATTTGAATTATACGGGGGATTGATCGGAGAGGGATTATATCGTATATTTATGAAGTACTAGCTACCCGCTCGGCTTCGCACGGGTGTACAAGTATTATGCATATAAACGTTCCTCTTGAATCACAATATTGCTAAAAAGTGAATTAAAATCTGTTGCGTAGTTTAAAAGATATAAGCTAAGAATTAATTTTACATATACTGTGTAACGATGTAAAATACTTACAATGTTCAATAATATCAATGTAATTCTCTAATAGCATTCTAGGTATCAGGAAGTAAAAAATGTATAATAATAGGTTTACAAAAATATTAAACGTAGAGAGAGGAAGCTTAAAATTTAATATTCCTTTTATAAAACTTACGTACTATCATCAATGTGTTATTAAATTTTTACTCATCCAACATTTGTAATATTGGATGAGTAAACATTTTTCATATTCGTGTGCATAATCTTTTGAAATATTTGTTTGTATTTTTCAAACTGTATCGTATTGTATCATTTGAAGTCGAAGTATTTTTTTCTCTTTAGCAGTAATCCTAGTTTTCACACTAACTTTTCGAGTATAGCGATAGAGCATATGCACGTATTTACAAAAAAAATATTTTAATGTAATGTAGTTGTATAGTACCCATAGAACTAACTCTGTATAGCTTGGGACTAGATGGTATTGTGTGAATTGTCAAATGTTATAATTATTTAATATTCATACACATATATATTTATATATATATATCTCCCTTTTTACGGGGGTAATACGTTCAAACACGCGGGCCATAGCCAAGCGTGAATGAGTTTAAAAGTTATAAGAGGATAATGCATGTGATGACGAAAGAAATTTCCTTATGTTATTATTGTAAGTACAAATATATCATCTTACCATCAACACTCACGCCCATTTGAACAGCTTGGTACCCGAGGACAGTGAATATAGCAAATCCGGCGTATATGGACGTAAAAAAGTCCGTAAACGTGACGAAAACGGCATCAAAGTGACAATTGTTTTGAAATTTATTGTACGATGCCAGTGTAACAAGGGAGCCACAAGCCACGCCGAATGAATAGAAAACCTGAAAAAATAGAATTTGCCATACAAAGTTACAAGTGTATCAGCTATAATAATAATCTATATTTGTTTACAATTGACACAGTTCCATCTATTGGTTGTGATTGTGTTCTGAGAAGATAACTGATACATATACATAGATATTTTTTTTGTAAATACATACATTTATACTAAGAACCGATTATATACCATACAAAATGTTTGTGCCGTGCGAGGAATCGTACCCGCGACCATCGGTCGTAAAGCGGTGTGCTAGACCGCTGGACCACCCAGGTCGTCAAATCAGCTAAATCTGCACAAGCAGATTTCTTATTGAAATGTCTTTTAAAATGTGCCATATGTCAGTAAAATTATAGATCAAAGATGAATTGTTTAATATGGTATATAGGACATATCTGTGTATTACCACGGTTTTACGAAATTTATAATAATAGCCTATGTGTTATTCATTTCAGTTTCATCAAAATCCGTTCAGTAGTTTTTGCATGAGAGAGTAACAAACATTCATATATCTATTTCTATCTATCAAACTTTCGTGTTTATAATATTAGTAAGGTAGATTATGGATGCCACTTAATATCAGGCGAGCCTTCAGCTTGCTTTCTGTTCCTATTACATAAATGTAATTATTACTTATATATAACTATGTAATTGCATTGTGAAGCCGGCATTTGCTACAATGTAAAAAAAAAAAACTAAAATATATTATACTTACATAAATTATATCTACATAACTATTATTATCATAAAGCTAAAAAATTTGTTTGTTTACTTGACTATGTTCCGGTATTGGTTGTGATTCGGTATTGGGTCTGAAGAAACTGAAGTTACGAATTTCTTTTGGATAGCTCATTTATCTAAGAAGGCTATATACCATTATTATTATTATTATTATTATTATTATATAATAAGAGTGTATATATACATTACTATTATCGTGGTTAAAAAAAAACCATTAAGCAGATTAACTAGAGTTATCTCGAAATTTTCTAACGAAACATTTAAAAGCAGCGACCAGAAGTAATTATATTTATCGCTTCTACTTCAAGTTTCGAGTTAATTAGATGGTCTATTTACTTATTTAAAGGCACCATTAGGGGACGAAATTGTCTGATACATCAAAGACATTAATCTGATTAATTGATGTTTGTTTGAAAGCTCTTGATATTTTTATTAAAAAAACAGTTTTAGATAAATGTAATAGTCGATGTTTAGATTCCACGCACGATGCAGACATTTTGTATTCATAAGTATAAATATTTGTATTGGTCTGAATATTTTTATGTATATTATGTATATACATACAGAATACACATAAAAATATTCAGACCTCATGATTATTACTTATGAATAATTTAAAAATATGTATTTTAGTATTTGTCCGTTGTCTAGTACCCTTAATAGAAGCTCTGCTTAGCTAAGGACTAAATAGCGCTGTGTGAGTTGACCTGGATTATTATTGTAATTATTATATACTATATGATAAGATATAAGTAGATACCTGTGAAGCAGCGTCTCCCCAAACTGTTACATCCAGTAAATTCTCCCAATCGGGAGACAAGTAAAACAATACCCCATCGCCAGCACCTTCCAAAGTTGCTCCACGTATCAATAAAATAGTCAACATTATGTATGGGAATATTGCAGTGAAATATACCACTTTACCCGCAGATTGAACTCCCTGAAGTAAAATAGAAACTGTAAGTCACTATTGTCAGTTGATATAAATACTTTCCGGAAATAAGGTCGCATTATTGTAATTATACGAGTACATATATCTTTAATATATGTCTTTACTTTTATAGTTATATATGTAGGTATGCTCATATTATATTATATGAGTATTTTTTGTATATATGTATAAATCAAGTATAACCAATGTACTAGACACGTATTTAACGATTTTGATAACGTTAACTGTTTGTATAAGATATTCCTTTTCTTTTTTTATATACGAATATGCATGTATATGGGTGTGAGAAAAAATGATATTACAAATATCTCTTCTATAAAAAATATCTCATAGTTTTAAAAAGAAATTTTCTTTTGAAATCGTTGAAATATTTTTGATAAAATATGTATAATAAAAATGTTATTTTTCATAAAAAAAAACATATATATTAATAACAAAAGTGGAATAGTAGCTAAGAATCTCACTTTAATCACACAGAAGAAAGCTATGAGCCAGGATAAGAAAAGTGTACCGACTAAGTGCCACTGTATTTCTCCCCAATTTTCCCAAGTTGCGTCTCCTCTGCCCAACACACGTTCACTGTGGAAGAAAAACTATAATAAGTCTTACATTATTATAATATACAGTACAAGATACTTGTAATACCCTACGTTTGCTCGAAAAGAAGTCTAGTTAAGTTTTTTTACATGTTCTTTCTGTATCTGAAAGCGTTCACAAATAAAGGTAGAATAATAAGAAATACAGTTTCAAAGTAAGTATATTAAGTTTATCACAATATTAATCAGTAATAAAGATTCTATTTTTAATAATAATAATTATAATATTTATTTATTAAAACTTCAATGCATAAATATAGGTACACAAGGTAGTTTTAACGATTAGAGCATTTTCTCCTAGTCAACCATAGGGCAAAGAAAGATTCATGTGGGCAGTACGTTATCAAAATTAACTAAAAAAGATCTAATATCTAGTTAATTATTTTAAACGAAATAGAAAGATACGTAATCACAATATTGACTAGGTGATTTTGTATAAACCTGAGTTTTGATTTTTCCTACACTTGTACTAGTATATTACTTTATTCATACTTAATCGAAGGGCTCGGTGGTCTAGCGATTTAGAAACCCGCTTTACTTCCGATGGTCATGGATTCGATTCCTCGTACGGCACAAACATTTATATTCCTGAGTATCATTGTTTGATCCAGATCTGGGTGTTTTCTATGTACAATATGTATTTATTTTAACAAAAAAAAGTATTCATGTATTTATATCAGTTGTCTAGTACCATTAACATAAGCTTTAGCTAGCTTAACAGGGGTCTAGATGGTGCTGCGTGAATTGTCCTGTGATTATTATTATTATATAGTTTTTTTATGTAACCAGAAAGCTGGCTAATGGCCGATCTGATAACAAGTGGTAACCGCACTTGTTTGAATGAACTATACCATAGATACGAAGTAATCATATGACGGCCGTAATACCACTCATGCGTTACTATTTTTGTCATTATTATTATTGTTTTTTTTTCTCTTCTATTCTAGTGCCACCTCCCACCTTTTGTTTTTCTCCTCTACCCAAAGGTTGCCTGGAAGAGACTGCATAAGAAATAAGGCCGCCTTTTGTACCCTTTTATTTTAATTACTCTATTAATGTAATTTTCCTGGTGCAATAAAGAGTATATAAATAAATAAATAAATATTTCGTAGGACTAATATATCATCCCTCCATTTACTGTAATTTTAATACCTTCTCTCCTTCTACAATAAGCAGGGATACCCACGCATATGTCCTTCTACATGTACCTTGATAAACTGAGAAATAGAAATAGAAACAATCTTTATTCAAATAAACTCAATACAAGCACTTTTGAATAGTCATATTTTTTATTCTACCACTCATTCAGAACGCAGATTCAACACAAGATGAATGAACAAGAAACTTGTGTTGCTCTTTCGAATAGATGTTTTTTAAAATAAATAATTACACGATACCAGATAAGAAAATTGCAATAATCGACATAGATACCGCTAGGCACTCATTCTTAGTATAATCAGATAATATTGTTGCTACGAATTTTAAGTTTATTCTACAAAGTCATCGTTTACAAACTCTTCAATTTTATAACAAGCTTAATTACAGGGAAGTATTTAACACGACATTTGAATCTTATTTTAGACATAGACTCTGGTAGCTTGTGGTACAACCTTACGCAATTACCAGAAAACGAATTACTAACTTAAACGTTTAGATATTGACCTAATTTAAAAGAGTGGCAGTACTTACTTGTAATATTCTTCAGCCGCGAGAATTCTAGTAGCGTTAGAATACCATGGTACTTGATCGGTTCCATTCAAACAGTACTTATCATCATACGGCTGGAAACCGGTCATCGTACATATTTCACCAATACTCATGCAGGTCCTCATATAAAACGTTTGCGTATCAGATCCAGTGTAGTTCCTACTTCTACATTCTTTGTCGTAACTGCCGCTGTAACAAACTGTGGGACTTGATATTTAAAAAAAAATACTCTATTTGTATATAAAATCATACAGTTTTCTACAGATGAAATAATTGATAAAGTTATATAATCATTGTTGTATTAATATTAGAACTTTAACCTATATAAAAATATTTTAAGTTAGATATAAATTAATAATCGTCAAAATTATATTAGAAATTCTTTAAGCCCTTCTAATTTTTATTATCGGTACCATGAAATTTGCAATCTTATATAATTTGAGTATAAAACTGATTAATTAAAGAGAACTTTCTCCTTAATAAATTCACAATTTACCGCTAATTAATCTGCAAAGATTATTGAAACTTTTATACTCTATTTTTGGTATTTGATCAGGAATAGACTTCAGTATAACTACTCATTCGAGCTGAATTAGGTAACCTTGGATCTCTAGTTATACCTATTATAATTAGGGAATTTGGCAATTGATCAGTACTTTACAAAAAAAATGAATAGTGCAATTTTACTGTCCTATATCATCATCAAACCGGAACACAACCTGTTAATTTAATTTAAGTTAATTATGTTGGTGGGAGTACATACTGTTGATGACATGTAGGAAGACAATATTGTACAAATGAAGTAGTAAAATTACTGTATGTGTTTGTTACTAACTCAGTAAGATACAATTGAAATTCAAAATATCTTTATTTATGTATGTCTATTACAGACTTATGTCAAATCCACTATCAGTTCGGAATGATTTCGAGATGAGAAGAACTGACAAGAAACTCGGTTCGTGTTCTTTTCAAATAAATTATTAAACAAACTTCTTTAAAAGTAATACAGTAGATCTTTTTACACAATTTATTATAAAAGGATACTTACAGTCTGTATTGAAATCGTTATCACACGATCCCCAGTCCAAATTACCAAATATTGATGCTAGCACATAGAACAGGGTCCAGGCAACAATGAGCATATAATATATAGATATAATACTGATCACCACCAGCGTGCAATAGCCTAGACCGCTAAAGAAAGGTCCAATTGCACTAAATGCCTGTAACGGACCTAAGCCAGTGTATTGTCCAACGTATAACTCCAAGAAAAACAATGGGAGTCCAATGAAAACAACCATAATAAAGAATGGTATTAGGAAGGCACCTGGAAAAAAAATGTTATAACTATGTATAGATGCAACATCCAATACTTAAATGCAGGACAATATGTATCCAAAATTTGCACAAACATTTGCATTTAACTGAATCAAAGAGTTCAAAGTTCAAATTTTAATTTATTATTTAAATACAGTGCTGAATTAGTACTATGAGTGCGCGTGCGAGTACGTTTGCAAAGCATGTCTGGTATGTGTACTGTGTCAATATATGTGCTAAAAGATCTCCAAACCCTTATGACAATTTTAAAAGAAAATGAGAACAGATAAAACTAGCCTAATTTTTTTAAAGATAGGTTAAATCTCTCAATTTTTAATGATTTAAAAATAAGATTGAATCATTTAAAAATAAGAGCTAAATCATACCATTAAGTTCTATTTTACTTAATGATATCTACAATGTTATTATTTTTAGATTATAGTATAAAATAGAGTCATATTTACCGCCGCCATTCCTATACGCCAAATAAGGAAACCTCCATATGTTTCCTAATCCGACCGCGTAACCTAGACAAGCCAATATGAATTCCAATGGTCTGCCCCATTTCGCTTTGTCAGGCGTAGACTTAAGTGATGACATATCTTCCGATGGCAATTTGCCATGTGTTTCAGACTGTAACAAATATTATAACAACATTTTATTACTATTAAATAAAATAAACTTTTTACAGGAAGGATTTTGGTTCTGTGTTGAACCATGAGAAAGAAATTACTACATTTTAAGGCAATCATGTTAGAGACATGTAAGAGATTTAGATATTTTTTATTAGACTTCATAAAATGAGGACGACTGTTTATTTAAAAGCGCTAAATATTTTTTTTTAATTCATTATAATATTATAAGTTCACGTTAATATTTTATTTCACATTGTTTAATATTATGATTAATCAAAGAATAAAATGACATACGAAGTAATCTGTACCTATTTATATGTCATTATTATTCATAGGATCTCAGACATGTCACTTACTACAAAATGAAATGTCAGACTGATTATTCTATTAAAATAAATTGGACACTTTATATTCAATGTAAAAATATTATTTAAATAATCAAAAACATTTTTCAATGCATAATAATGTGACAATATTGTAATATTCAACGTAATAAGTTCACCCCGTCATGTTTTATGAAAGCAGTCACAATTTTGTAATTCACCAATAAAGTAATTACACAACTTTACACAGACACGAAAATCAGGAAGTGCTCTAAAACTTAATCCCTTCAAACAAGGGAATAATCGTCCTCATTTAAATGTAAATTCGGGTTGAATTGTGACGAGGACCACAATGGAGTCGCTAAGTTTTCGTTCGATTCGCTTTCTCGCTATTCAGATAATATTATGCAGAAGTTAGTTTCGAGTCGCACAAAACTAGACGAGTTTCTTACATACTTTATATTTATGATTCAAGTTCTGAAAGGAGTGGAGTCGCTACTATACTTGATAAAGTTATCGTAAGTAATTGTAAACGTGTTTCAAAAGGTAGATCTAAAATACGCACTAACACTGAATTACTACCTCTTACCAAACGATACCATAACTAACTGAAAGGCAAAACAAATACAGAAATACAGTTAAAAAATAATTTGCAACATTATCATATTGATTTATTATGTTGCATACTTGTATTTTTTTACAAATATCCGTCTCGAAGGACCAGAAATATACGGGACTGTTTAAGAAAAAGAAAAATAAAATTACATAAAATGGGTAATCTTTTATGGAGTAATACAACTGAGAAGAATATAAAATAGAAATAATATTTAAAAAGTAATAATAGTTTGGAACAGATTTCCAAAAGAAAATTACACTACATTTGACGTCAACATCGTAATATTACGCTTGAATATTCATTAGGGGTTTTACCGCCTGATTATCATATAGATATCTGATCTGATAGACTATATAATGTTTAATAAGACGATTATATGATTCGTGATGATATTCGATAATACATATCGAAATTCAGTCATTGTCCTTACAGATAAATCGTCACTTTAATACTGAATCCCATCACAAATATATCCGTCAAAGTATTTTATTTTACATATTTGTATTTTATTATACTCATCGTATCATAAAATGAATGTTATATAAATGGATGTATTCACTTCTTCTATTGCCGTATACCTGATTTTTTTTATATAACTAGAATGGTTAACAAGTTGACGATGGCTAACTTAATCATAAATTGTAACCGTCGCCTATATACAACCTAATAGATGTGACGTCATAATGTAGTACAGCTTGACACTGTATTGTCCTTCCGTAGGACTAAGATGTCATACCTTCTTGTAATTACATTGCCCTACAACCGTGACACATTTTAAAAAGCAAACTGCTCGGTGACTGATGCACAAGTAAGTGAGACAGAGTTACCCGCTCAGACGATTTAGTAAAGTTAGTTTACTATGCTAAAAGCTTCCAATAATTTATCATTGTAAATTAAAATTAATTAATTGTACTTTAAAATACTAATAGATGAAAATATTTTGCAAAAAATTGAATTTTTTAACCGGAAAAAAAATGCAATCAAATGATTGATAATGTATGAAGTTGAGATGTTTCTATATTTGTTTAAAGCACCCGTGACTATACCTTCTCATTAATTATTATAATTCACGTTCTTATTCTGAGACTGACACTTGACTTAAAATATCAATCTTTTGCGCTGACAAGAAATCAAATTAAATATGAATTAATTGTCTACTCCATTTAACGAGCTGTTCCCGTACATTCTTCTTAAGCATGCCAGCCATGGCTGGATAAAACTTTAGCTCTGATTTCTATGAACATATGCGGGGCAACCTGCGTTCACCTCGGAGTCAGGGGCTCGGGAAAGTTTTAAATTGCTTCAGAACATACCACAATCCACAACTGCTGGTGTGAATATAACTAGTAATCTGTTAGTTTTGCCCCGAGTTTGGTAGTTAGGATTAAAAGATGTACTCTAAAAGGATTGTTTGTGTTTAACTTTGACCTGGCTAGAATGAATTGGAAGCGATTTTCTAATACGTTACTAAGTAGTTATCTAACTAAACTATATTGGAAACAATGTTAGTTAAGTCCCATCTAGGTTAGTTTCGGTTTAAAAGTTTCAATCAAATTTGTAGTAGTAGATTCCTATACAAGCTTCATCAATTGTAAGTAGGTCTTGTGTACATTGTATTTTATTGTAAACATAGAATTAATATGTAATAGGAGTAATCGATAAGTAACTTTAAGCCCCTCCTTCGGATAGTGCAAAGGCAATTTGCTCACTAGTGATGTGCACTAGCTATTAGTTTTATGGTACAAAGTGATTGGCATGTACTTTTAGTTTGCACGAAAGTTCCTATATATCAAACAAATTTAAAAAAAAATCTATGAAAACTAGACTATAATATACTTATATAATATTGAGTATATTATATGTTATCTACACAAATAAATAAAATTGTAGTGTCTGTTTGTAATATTGAAATAACGGTTTTTTGTACTATTCGCAATACAGAAATGTTAAATAAGTATAAATTAAAGATACATGAATATAACTGCACAGTGGTAGATGGTTTTTGCTGTGATTGTCCAACTTTAGAAAAGACTACACATTTGAAATATTTGGGAATTATAATTGATAGCAATCTTACCTTCAAAACACATATTGCATCCCTCACTAACAGAATACGTAAATTAATATCTGTTTTTAAAAAACTTCGAAATGCTGTTGATTCAAAATTAATGAAAAGTACTTACTTAGCACTGTGTCAATCTTTATGTACTTACGGTATCTCAGTATGGGGTGGTTCCCCGAAAACAATTCTGAAACCGTTAGAAGTGGCGCAGAGAGCAGTACTTAAAGTTTCTACATTTAGACCGAGATTATATCCTACAAGGCAACTATATCAGTCCTGTGAGGTTCTAACAATTCGTCAACTTTATATACTCGATACAGTTCTTAAGCAACATTCTCTGCTACAATATGACCCAAAGCTTTTGACAAAACGAAAATCGTATAATGTATGTAAACAAGTAAATAAATTTAGGACAAATTTTGCTCAGAGATTTTTTCCCTTTTTGGGACCATATTTGTACAACAATATTAACAAGAAGCTTCATATATATCCTAAAAGCAAAATAAAATACAAAAAATTGTTATTAAAGTGGTTATTAACCCTATCGTATGAGGATACCGAAGGTTTGTTGTCTGTTCTGGGGTGATAGATTAAGCTAATCTTATATATTTGTTTGATTTGTTACTTTGGTGGGATGGACAAGAGATTTTCGGTAGTATCTAAATTCCTTACACACACTCACAGTCATTTCACACACACACACACACACACACACACACACACACACACACACACACACACACACACACACACACACACACACACATATATATCATTAACTATATTATATACCGCAACTAGCGACACATTATACAACTTTACCTCACAAAAACATTTATTAGATTTAGTAAATACCAGTAAGTCCTCGGAGAGAGCCTGGAGATCTGTAGTACAGGTTTCGACTTAGTTCAGACTCCAGACTCTCACAAGGAATAGCTTGTAAGTTTAAATACATACTTTTGTACATGCATGTGAATATAAATATTTTAGAAAAATAAAGTTAATATCCACGCGGACGAAGTCGCGAATACAGCTAGTATATAATATAATAGTTGGAAACAACTAAAATACACAAATAACCAACTCAACTCAATATAAACTTATAGTTAATACATATATGTATGTTTCTATCACAGCAACCATTAGTCATTAGATGATTAGATAATAATATATGATAAAACCTGAATTAATTAGGTACATAAATACGTAACACATTACTATCTAGTCTATGGAGGACCCCTGAGGCCGTGTAATCGGTAGTAAATAGTTAGTGAATGAAATATTGATTCTCTTTATGTAATTGTAATTGGTTATGGTTATGTCTGTGGCAAATATTAGAGGAAACCTATATACTTGAACAATTCCAATGACAGATATGAAGGGTTCGTTCATATTCGTGAAAGTGGTATATAGGGTAGAGCCGCAATATTCTGTCCTACTACCATTCTATAATATAGTTATGTGGTGGACTATTGTAATGCATTTAGAAGTAGATCTGTAATTTTATTTATTTATTTTAGACTACTAGGTCTATATTATTAATATCTTATAGACTTAACATACTCGTACATATGAATTAATATTATAAAGTTAAAATAAGTTAAATAGTACTAAAATTAAAAAAGTAATACAAGGCTCTACGTGCCATGTTGGCTCTAAAGGGCCTAAAGGGCCGAAATACGGGCTTCTATAACATTATTCATGTTAAGACCTGATTTTATTTAAATAACAATGAATGCCATTTTTTCAGTTTGATAAAACCGAAACACTCACCTTTTAAGTCGGTTAAAAAGAAAACTAGATTTTATCAATTTATATGGTAAATAAAAATAATTCACGGAATCGGTTTAAAATTAATTTCTAATTACTAAACATAACTATCTAAATTAATAACCTCCCTTTTTAAGTTGGTTAAAAAGACACCAATAAGCTACCGAAACATGTCTATCTATATATTTTAATCTAACTCACTAAGGTTAGAGATAAATATTTCTGTA